GGGATGTGATGGGGCTGTGATGGTGCTGGGGGGATGTGATGGGGCTGCTCGTCGCCCTCCTGGACTCTGCGGGAGGAGCAGGCTGGTGCCTGTTGGTGCCTCACTGGTGCCTCGCAGGCTGTTAACCGGTGCAATGCTGGGGAGGGAAAACTTGCCCAGCGGAGCTGCTCAGAGCTCACGTGCTGGCACGGGGGAAGGACCACACAGCAGCAGGGCCTGAGAACCCCCCAGCTGGGGATGGTCACTGCAGTCAGAGGAGCGCTGGGGGCTGAGCCCTGTACCTGATACACTCAGCAGGTCCTGTGTGATCCCTGCTGCAAGGCCTTGCTGCCTCCTGTTTTCTGTGCACTCACTGTACCAGGCTTGAGAAAGGGACAGAGGCTTCATCCCCCCGTGCCAGGACCGAGCTCAATCTATTGGAGGGGCCGGTTGTTCTGCGGTGCAGAAGATGCTCCTAGCACTGAGCAGAGCTCTCTGCCCGTCGGGAACCGCCTCAGCCGTGAACTTTCCCCCTCTAACAGGGGTTCAATGTGTGTAGGGAGGGAGGAATCGAGCGCGGAGCCCCGGTGGCTCTCCCGGCCGGGCGCGGGGCAGATCCCGGAGCTGCCCGACGTGAGTGCCGGCTCTGTGCATCCCTGTCAGCCCCGGCGCAGCGCCTGCGTGGGAGCTGCACCACGTGAGCGTCACAAGCCCATGGGCGAGAGCAGATAAATCTTGAATGAAGCCGCTGCAGACCCATGGAGAGACACCCACACTGGGAAACGCAAATTAGCGGTTGACTCAATATGTGGAGCCCAGGCAGGTGTTCCAAGACTGCTGGGCTGGGATAGACTGGTTGGATTCGCAGCGTTGGGATCCTAATTATTGCTTTTACAATGTGCAAACGCTGAGCAGGTGTCCCCTCGTGTGTCCCACTGAGCCGTGACCAGCGCTGGTCAGTGCCTGTCCCCGTTGCTGTTTCAGCATCACTTGTTTTCCTCTGTTCCTGCTTTGTCAGAAAGGAGGGACGGACGTGGCACTTTGAGGAGAGAGCTGAAGTTGAGGAATAGCGGCTTAGGCTGGTGGTGGTTTTTTGAGAAAGTAAAAGAACTTTGGTTTTCAGCAAACTTAATTAAATTCAGCATCATTAAATGCAGCATCATTAAATGCAGGGAGGCTCCGTGTCCTCCCTGCTGCGTGGTGTAGATTGGGACTGGCTCCATGGCATCATGCAGAGCTGAAACAGGCAAAAGGAGCAGGAGGATTTGGCCGAGGCTTCTCAAAATACCATATTTTAAGGCGATGTGGTACTTTTTCTTTCCTCCCTCATTTCCCTCATCAGAATAAAGTGCTCTGTCATTTCTGGAGGAGGCCAAGCGTTGCTCTGCCTGCCTCCCTCACAGAGGATGCTCAGCATCCTGCATCCTTCTGGGGTGGGATGCAGGCCGGTTTGCAGGAGACACAGACACCTTATGTCCCAGAGCTGTTCCTCAGCCAAACTGTCCCCCTTGGACCCATCCTGGCCCCTCCAGTGTCCCCCACAGCAGCTCCAGTGCAGCCTTTGCCAACTGGCAGTTCCTCCCTGCCAAGCCTGGAGAGCCTTGCTTGGGGCTGGTCTTTTCGGAGGGATGCTGTCTAGATTGAACCATAACACTGTGGGTATCATCAGCTGACCCCACAGCCCTCAGGAGCCTGCCCAGTTATTTCCACCCCTGCCCTGCAGCTCCTGTGTGGCTCTGGGTGTGGGGTGGGTGGAGGGTCCGTCAAACTTCCTTTGAGCACGTGAAATGATCTCTGACACCCAGTTGTCCCGTAGCCAGGCAGCTGTTTGTCATTAATCCTGCCTGCTGTGACTCTGGCTGCTCACCTGCAGGTCACCTGAGCCCCCTTGGCTGCGGCCCCTCACAGGGAGTTCCCACCCCAGCTCAGGCCCATCCTGAGCATCACCTCCCACCCCCAAAATGGAACTTGCTCTCCTAGTTCTTGGCTGTTAATCCTTGGAATTGGCTGTATAAAGATGGCTGTTGCTGGATGATCCCATGGTACCGAGCTGCCCAAATTTGCCTCTCTTGTTCATTAATATCCCCATCAGTCTTTTCTCCACTGTTTCCCTCTTTCACTTGCAATTATTTCATGTTTTCTTCAATACTGTCAACAAAGATGTTGTCATAGTTCAACGCTGTTCTGGTGGCAGGTGATGCTGTGCAGGAACATCCCTCAGATGGCAGGGATTGTCTCTGTGAGCTCCCAGTCCCATTAATAAAGCGCTGTTGATTCTGTGTAATACAGGTCTTTAAGTTTTTCAGGAGAGCTCAATCAAATACCCTGTGGAACTCCAAATGTATTATGTCACCGACTTCCTTTATCAACTTAATTTGTAACCATATCAAGAAAAATTTATGAACTTCGATAAATCTATTTTCCACAAGGCTGTTTGACATTTTCCTCATCCACAGCTCCCACCTCTGCTAACCCAGGGGCAGTGCCGGGGCCACAGCTCCTGCCCCTGCCCATCGCGTCACTCCTGGCGTTAAACCAACTCCTCTCCTCTTCTAGAAATTCAACAGAATTGCAAGGCTTATTAAAATCCATTCTAGATCTTCAGAAACCTTCTCAGCCTATTCTCTGAATGCTCCTGGGAGGAAGTTCTTCAGTCCTCCCGGTTCCATGTTTACACATCGCAGTCGCTGTTCAGCATCCCCCCAGCTCCTGCTGGAATACAGGAGCCTATTTGTCTCCAAGTACAGAACAGAAGTATCTAATGAATAAATGATAATGTGTCACTTCTGCTCCATGACTGACAGTTGCCCTGTCGTGATCTGGTGGTGTTTTACACCGTCAGGAGGCCTCCTTTGAACACAATGAAAGGATTCCTCCTTGTTTTGCCTTGACCTTTTGGTTACAGGTTTATTTTATCTGACTCCATCAGCTTCTCCCATCAACCACTTGAGTGCCCTGCTACTTCCCGTATCTAAATCCCTGATTTTTAATTTTTTTATTCAGTTTTCCATTCAGCAGGCCTAGCAGAGGAGTGAGGTGCAGGGAGGCACCTGCCTTTGCTCCTGAATTTTCCCCTGTTGGTTTTGTCTGGCTGG